ACTTCAACAATGTATTCATCTGGGAAAACAAATTCTCATTTTTAGAAAAATGAGTAGTTTGAAATTTTCTCATTTTTCCCAGTTTATGCCCTAGTTAGGGTGGCTGGAGGCTTACTGGAAATGAGAAGTAAAGATCAGGGTGAGAGGTCCATCAGTGATTCTCAAAGATTGTAGGTAGATTTGACGCTAACGCTGCAAATGGCTGGTATGTGGTTCATATCTTCTAAAAGCAATGCGGATAAAAGACGCTTCTAAACTTCTTTTAAAGGGGAAGTAAAATTCAAGATAGAATTGAGATTGTTTTATGTCTAAATGGTTATGTTTCTTTAGATAGGCACACCAATAGTATTTTAAATAAAAATCTAAGAGTTTTTATTGAAATATTTATACTTTTATTTAATAAAGAATTTATTTAATAGGGAAGCTTCTTAGAGTAGAAACTAATTGCAGGATGGCCTTCATCTGTTTTCCTGGTGCTGGCATAAACCACACATAATACCTACAAAGAGCTCATTGAACTTGTAGGGTGTGTACCTTGTGATTTCAATTCTGATTCCTTAACGGCAAATACCGTAGGCTGTGTCTACACCTCCCCATACAGGAAGTGAGAAATGCGATTCCTGTTATGAGCAATCTCCCAAGGATGCCATCATGTTTATTTTAATTTCCCATAGTCCTTTCCACTCTGGAAGCTCAAAGGCAGCTTCAAGGCCAATTACTTTATAGCACTTATTTCAATAGGCTCTGTCAGAAATGGATTTGATGTATTCTAGCTCTTCAAGCAAGAGCATTTCCTATCTCGAGAAAGTTGAAGAGATGGTGGAATAACTCTGGCCTTTCCAGACTGATAGCTATCCTGAGAATTAGAAACTGGGCTCCCATCCAGGGACTAGGAGCCAACAGTGAAGTTTAAAGCTATCAGAAAACTGGACACTGGCCTTGGTAGGGGAGGAGATGTTTCCATACACAGAATAGCTTTGTTTCCCAGGGAGCCGTGGTCTTTCCAGGTCATCTGGGGACTTGAGGTGGAGGTTGCCAGTCCCACCTTCCTAGTGGAGCTCAGCCTACTCCAGTGGGTGCTAGCAAATGACCTTTACTGCCAGCTGTTTTCATCATATTCTAGGATGCAAGTGGCCTTGAGTTGGCACTGCAGGATGAAAAGGTTTTACAGAGGAAATCATGTGTGTTTAAATCTCTTAAAGCTCTGTGACCTTGGGCAAGTCTTTTGGCTTCTTTAAGTCTCATTCCCTTGCCTATAAAATGGTAATACTTTGTAGAATTGTGAGGATTAAATAAGATTACAAATGTAGGCTCATTTCAGTTAATTTGAAATCACCTATAGGGAGAATTGGAGCTTCCCATGGCCTTAAATTTTTTTTTTTTTTAACATCTTCCTTTACCAGCTTTTTTTGCACTCTCCTTTATAAGAAGTAAATAGGGCTGGAGACAACTGAGAGAAGCACACCGCTCAGTCTAGGCTCCTTCTCAATGCCTCAACATTTCAGAAGCCCCCAGATGCTACTCGTTTTCCCCCTCTGTGTTATTCTCTTTGACCAGGGCCTTACTTGTGACCTATCCCTTGGGAAGTCTTTGCTGTATTTGTGCATTGGAGGGTGTGCTCAGGGGGTTAGGCACTGGGCGGCAGAGTCTTGACTGTTCAGCCCCTGTCAAGATTCTCGCTCCTCTTCTATGACAGTCCGCATTCTTACCCCGGGAGTGCCTGAAGCTCAGGAGGGAGATGAGCTCATTCTGTTCTGCGAGAGAACAGTTTCCTTCTCTGTGCTTCCAGTTATTCTGAACATAACCTTGGGTTTCAGGAAAGAATAGGTACCTCCCCCCTGTTATGGAAACTGTGTGTGTGTGTGTGTGTGTGTGTGTGTGTGTGTGTGTGTGTGTGTGTGTGTGTGTGTGTGTGTGTGTGTGTGTGTGTGTGTGTGTGTGTGTGTGTGTGTGTGTGGCAGGGGAGAAGGAACAAAGTAGGCTGTGGTGAGGATTAAGAAGATTTCCCACCCACCCCAGGGTGGGGAAGACCAGGAAAAATTAATGGACAAATCCTCTTAAGTCAGCCTCTTCCTTTTTTAAGCCCACCGAGGCATTTTGCATCTAGTCTTAGAAACTTGTTCCGTTTTGGCAAAGGCAACACACATATGGGGGAAGAAGAAGGCTTGTCAAGATTAACCTCAAATGCTCAGGGGCCAGTACTCTGGCATCTATGCCGGGCCACAATGGTACTAGGCGCAGGATGTGAGACTGGGATGTCCACTTATATTTCTCATCAGTTTCTACTCTCTTGGGCTTGAGGGCTGCAAAGGAAGACATATAGGGCACTGGGGAGTTTTGAAGCAATAGGAAATATGGTGGAAGAGGACATCCCTTTGGCGATGTAAAGAATGCCATCCAAGGAATCAGTGTATGGAAAGAAGCATAGACTTGTGATGAAGGCTCTCATGATGAGTAAGGACTACGGGGAAAATTGGAGGAGAAGGATCTAAAACTTAAGAGGAACTTTAACTGTAGGGACAATTTGGGTCCTCAAAAGTTCCATTTGAACCCTACTTCCTGAGCTAGCCCTCTAACTTGCCCCTGTTTACCCTTCCCCATCCCAGCTGCCGTCACTACATCGAGCTTCCCAGCCAAGCAAGGCCATCCTTAGAACATCGGAGTCTCAGAGTGTTAATGGCGTTTGGTGCCATAGGCTCTTTGAGGAGGGCCTCCTCCCCTGAACTCCCCAGGAAGGGAGCTTCCCTTGTAGAATGTTGCTGAGAGAAAAGCCTAGAATTACCCCTCCAGTGCCCAGTATGACCACTTTGCCACTAAGCCACATATGGCATGAGTCAGGTGGTTGGTGAGTGCTGCTTTTGCACACACTCTGGGTTGGGCACATCCACAAGGAGAGGAGTCTGCCTGTAGGAGCTACAGCCAGCACAACTAGAGCTATCAACTGCCTTCATCATCTAGAAAAAAATGAGTCAAAGCAGGGCAAAGAACCTTGGGTTCCCAAGGCACACTCTGAGCTCTTGGGTTCTTCCTATGGCTCCGCAGGAACAAAAGGAAAGGACAGATTTGTTGGAGTAACGCCCTAATATTTATTCCCAGGTGGTGAGTAGGAGGGGTGAAATGTCGATATACTTTCTCTCTAGCCTGCGGAGTCTTATTGAAGACGGGACCACTGTTCCTGGTGTGAATCTAGGCCCCAGGAGACTCGTCTGCTGAAAAGGCGAGTCTTACCATCTTAAAGACCTGACCTCTATTCCCCTCAAACCTACATCTCCCAGGAAACACTTTCCCCCATGACCAGAGAAGCTCTCACACTCCATATATTAACTCTGATGTGCTGTAGGGGAGTACACAAAGCAAGGGGTGGGTGGGGAGGCTCTGAGGCGCACAGCCTGGCAAGGGGCATGTCGGGCGAGGTGTTCCTCGAGTGCTCACACTTCCTTCCCCTCCTTCCCCTCCCTCCCTTTCCCTGAACACCAGTCTCTGATCGGGCCAGTCCCCGCTCAGAGTTCAGAGGCACCCAGTCCAAGGACAGAACTGCAAGAATATAGGACACAAAACACCAAACAAATTGGGGGTGGGCTCCCAGCCAGTATGGTGAGAGAGAGTCCTGTGGCCAGGGCCATTTCTGGTTTCAGCCTCCAGGGTCTGGGCTCTGTGCAGCAGAGGGCACTGGGGTCTCTGGGGCAGCTCAGTGTAGGTGTAGGGGAGTGCTTCACCCCCGCTTCTCCCCAAGGTTGTACAGGAGCACAGGCACAGGGGTGGGGAGTATGGGCAGCAAGGGGGGAGAGCTGATGGGGAGACTGGAGAGTGGATGGCAGTTTCATTAAAGCAAAGTTATAGCTGCCTCTAGTGCCTGTGGGAGGAGCAGGTAGGGAGGGGCCTCCAGGAAAGGGCCGGGGACCAGAGTGTCCGGCACGGAGCACAGTGCTCTGAGCAGTATCCTCTGACACGTCCCTACCCCACACCTCTGGCACATTGTAGCTGGGGACACAGATTTGTGCTTGATCAGGTCTTCGGAGGAGGCACTCTGGGGCTGTCCTGGAGGCTGCCAGTTCTGGGGTCCTCTGCAAAGTACCCATAGTATCTGGAGAGCCAAGATGTGTCATGGCCCCTGTTCCTCCCCTCCCTGCCCGAGGTCTGGGATCCTCAGACATGAGTCTGCATCCGCCGCTGCAGGGGTCGGCTGGGGTCGGAGTTCTGGGAAGAGGATTGGGAGTGGTGGGAAGAGGAGGCAGAGGCCTTGCTGGCCTTGTCGAACTGCACGTAGCCATCCTGCTTGCCGCTGCTGCTGACACTGCTGTCACACTGCGTGTCCAGGAAGGAGCTGCTGTCGCTGAGGGAGCCCCTTTGGAACTCACGCTCACAGAGCTCAATGGAAGAGCTGCCCATGCCCAGCACGAACCTCTGGCCATAGTCGTAGAGACGGCCCTGACCACTCAGGGTGCTGTAGATGTTGGTGAAGGACATGCCCGTGGGCACTCGCTGCTTGCCTGTGGGACGCAGGTCCGGCTGACAGCTGGACAGTGAGATGGTGGGGGTCGAGTGGTGCTCCTTGAAGGTGTTGACGCTGTAGTAGCCATTGGTGGGGTCCTGGGGTGGGGAACAAGAGCGAGAGCAGTGTCACCAGGTGGGCAGAGCCTGCATCGATTGAACTTCCTAAGCTGAGCTGGTCCTACCTTACGCAGGGGGGGATGAGGTCAGACAGGAGAAGGGGACAGCTGAGGAGAAATGCGGGGGCGTGGGGGCTGGAAGGGTTAGCCTGGCGGGGACATCTAGAAGGGAGGGCTGGCAGGTATTCAGGTGGCAGCGGGCAGGGGACGGCGCTGAAGGAAGGGAAGCAGGGGGTTCTTGGGTATATTGGTTATGTCAGCACAATGCAAGGTCATCTGAAAACCAGATTTTATTTGTTTCACGTTTTTTTTCCAGAACACGGATACTTAGTTTTAAATTTGTCTATGAAAAGGTTGTGGGAGAGGAGAACTGTGGGACCCCGACTGTAACCCTCTCGCCTCTTCAGTGTGGACAGCAGGTGCCTTTGCAGGGAAGCGCTCCATCTTAGGGAGAGGATAAGGTGACCTCTGGCCTTTCTCTTCTATTTGCTGTCATTGTTTGTCTGTCGTGGGGGTCGGGCCATCCCAGCCGAAGACCAGATTCCATGCCGGGTCCTACCGTCTGTGGCCACTCCTACCTTCAGGTTCTGAAACTCCTTCTCCTCTTCTTTGAGGACCTCCAGCTGCTTTAGGACTGAGTCTTGTTGGAATTCACTCCGGTCCATCTGCAACCCCCAAATGGCTGCTTAGTGGGGGAGGAGGTGGGCTAAATGTCCACTTCCCCCAAGGAAAAAAATGGAGAAACCACCTCGAGAGAAGCTTGCCATCTCTGCCTCCCCCCACACCCCCTGCCCACCTCCCACTGCCTGGCCCATGGAAGGCAAGTGAAGGAGTCAGGAGGAGATTCATCCCGAGAGACAGAGAGAGATATGGGAGGTGGGGATGGGTGAGTGAGGGGCAGTCTCTAAGATTGAATTTACTTCCCCTGGCCTAGGAAATCTCTGCCAGAGCTCTCACTTGGCTGATTCAATTCAATTTGTTGAGCATTTACTGGACCTCAGGCCAAGAACTATGCTAAGAACCAGGCACACACAAGTTAAGATACAGGCGTGCTCCTCAGGGAGATGGTTCTGTAGATAAATAATTATAGAACCTTGACCAATGGGCACAGTTGGAGCCCTAGCAGGGTCATGTGTCACCCAGCGCTAGTCTTAATGAAGGCCTTAAGAAGGAGTCACGATGACCCCAGGCCATACCTGCTATTCACAGAGATGACTTGGATGTACTACAAGTTTCCTTCTGTAACAGACACCAAAGAGCTCAAAGGTAAGGATCACTTCTTGTTTCTCTTTGGGTCCCCAACAACCTTGGCACAGTGCCTCGGATATTGTGGTCACTGACCGAGCTGCTTTTGGGATTGGAATCATATTTAATTGTGTTTTATTAATTTTGTGATTCACCAGTGCGTAGTGCAGTGCCTGATCTACACTAGGGCCGTTACAAATGTTATGTTTGTTTTGGATGAATGTATGAAGTGGCACCGCTCTAAGTTTCTGAGAATTAAAATCATAGACTTAAGGTGAAAAATAAAGCATACTTGGCACACAGCGAGTACATTAATCAACCTTAATAACCACAGAGATGGTATCCGGTGGCACATAGCTGCTTGCCACGTGTCATTTCTGTACATGACATGATCTTGGCCAGGTTCTCACCCACTCTTTGCGCTTTCATGTTCTCCTTTGTGACTCACTCTCCTGGTCTCATTTTGGAGCCTCACAGAATCAGCCAAAGGACTTCCGCCTCGGTCTCTCCTCACCAGTGCTGTGTTTTTTATTTCCCAGTAAATGCTCTGGCTCTATGTGGTTTGCAGTTCTTCTTTCCCACCGGATTCAGCTTTTAAGCCTGCCTCTCCTCGGCGTGGGGCCGTAGAGGGGTGGTGCGGATGTGTGAAGGGAGTGGGGGAATGACGGCCTCCCCAAGGGGAGGGTTGGCCACAGAGCCCTCGGTAGGTCCCTCTGCTTCAATTATCCTCCCCCCACCCCTACCCCTCCCTGCTCTTAACTGACTACTGAGCGACTTCCCCTCCTTTCCTGAGAGTTTGGACTGAGGGGTGTGGAGACAGTCTGAGGCAACCAGAATGTCTTAATGAGAGGAAATTCATGGTCCCATCTGGGATGAAGGACAGGCCAGGTACTTCCATATAGGCTTGATGAAGCTCATCTAGAGACATCCATTCCTTCTGAGGTCTAGGCTGCAGTCTCCTCCCATGTAAGATTAAATGCTCTACTGCGTCAGGCTCTATGTTAGCCCCAGGGAAATATACATGCATAGATTCGAGAACATGACCTTTGCCCTTGAGGAACTCTGGGATAATTGGGGGAACTGACATGTAATTAGAGCAATACGCTGTAAAGGAGGCACATGCAAAGCGTTTGGGAAAAGCAGGACAGTGCATAGCTCTGCCAGCAGTGGGGGGACAAGCTTGGAAAATTATAGAGGAGATGACATTTGAGCTGATTCTCACAGGAGAATGTGAAATTCAAGTGACCAATTCGACAAGCAGAGAGACAGCCTGTGCAAAACCTTCAAGGTCTAGAAGACACGAAGCCTGGGAATTGCAATTCTTTGGGGTGTCTAGAGGGCCCCAAGCATTTGGCAGGAAGGTGGAGCTGGCAATGTTGGCAGCCACTGCGCCGTGAAGAGCCTAACAACATCCTTGTCTGGGACTTTCTCCAGCAGACATGGGGAACCATCGAGGATTTTCAGTGGGATAGTCACAGGGGCAGGTTATGTTTTAGAAGGGGACTTTTTGTGGGACTCTGGAGAGGGACTGAGCAAAGCGGTGAAAAATCAGAATGGTGAGACCACTTAGGAGGCTGCTGTGACTGTCCGGGGAGCCACAAGGAGAACTGAGCTAGCGGAGAAACAGTGGAGCAGAGGCAAGGCACCCATTTGAAGAATCTTTTGAAGTGGCATTGAGGGGACCCCCCAAAATCAACCGGGTAGAAAAAGAGCAGCCAAGGAAAACCTCGGCTCAATGTAATAAGCATTAGTGAGCACCTTCCAGGGACTGGAAGGCTCTGGAGACGTGGGATGAATAAGGCAGCTCGCTCAACATCTAAGAGGAGGAAGATAAGGAAACAGGTGATTTGTGAGCAACACAAACGGCAAACATCTCTCGAGCACTTGTGCTCCACGGGCTCTAGCCCTCACCGCGGTGTGCGTGCTCTTACTTTCATCCCATTTTCTTAGATGAGGAGACTGAGGCACAGAGCAGCCCACGCTCTTTCCCCCTTCAGAGTATCACCACCAGGACAGAGTGTGCACAAGAATTTTCTAGCAGTGTTTCGGGATTCTGTTTGGACAGCTGGATGGGTTATGGCTCATTAATGGGGGTCAGGAAGAGGAAGAGCAGACTTGGGGCTGCTGGAGAAGTTGAGTTTACTAATGGTAAGCAAGCCATTTCTGGAATAGGAATCTATTCCTCTCGCAGACTTTTTGGCGGGTAGCAGGGCAGGGTATGTGTCTGTATTATCTATGTGTGTATGTATGTAGAATTATATGTTATATAACAACACATTACGGCTATTTATGCATGTCTTCTCTCTCTACTGAACGGGCAGGTTCCCTGAAAGCTGGGATTGCATCTTAGATGTCTTTGAGTCTCCTAGAACGCCAAGCGCAATATAACAGGCACAGGATCCTTCTCGGTCGACCTGGCCTCTCATAGGGGGAAGGGCACATCTTGACTGATGCTCTGCTTCACAGATGTGTCTAGGGCTTCAGGAGGCCTCCAGTCCAGGACTTTCAGGGCACAGAGGTTGGGGTGGGTGGGGGTAAGTTAGCATTCTCACCATCAGCTGCTTGATGGTGGGGTGTTCCTCGGCCTCCCGGCCAGAGGCAGGCTCCTTGTGGACAATCTCCACTCGGATATCATTCTTGGCTGACACAACACCTTTGAGATCTGGACATAAAATAGGAAAGTGTAGATGACAAATTCAGTCGGCACCCTCAAGCATTAGGGCCTGAGTTGTCAAGCCCCTGCCACCCCTGTCGCCCTCCAGAGTTTACCCTCCAGCCCCTGAACTCAGCAGCTTCTCTACCCCCTGCCCACTCAGAACACCTGTCTGCATGTGCTGAGGGCTGTTAGGGCCTCAGAGCTCTTTCTCTGTTAGCTCTTGGTCACATGCACCTCAGCCTGTCACTGCTGATCCCGTGGCTCAAGATGTTGTCTCTATCCATTTGTCCACCTTACAGAGCTAGGTCCTTTCATCCTACTAAGTTCTCACCTCCTTCTAGAAGTCTTCTCTGACCTACTGTACCAGGCTCTGATCTCTCCGTTTAGAGAATCACAAATCTGACTCTTGGGACCTTAATGTTCAACCAACTGCCCAAAGCAGAAACATCCCTGACATGCGGTGGGGCGTTTGTGCGCTCTGGAAGATTGCGTATGCCCGGAGTTTCCATCCCAGCTACTGTGTCAGTGCTTCCATGACGGAGACTTTAAAACTTCCAGAGGAGGCAGCCAATCTATAGTTGGAGAGCTGTTGGAAAATCCTGGTGAAAATCTGCTTCCGCATAATTTCTACTGAGAGGGTGGTGAGGGAGGTCCTGAGACCACATGATTGGGGGCGGTCAAGACAGCCAAGGCTCGGAGTGGAAGAGACTTAAGCGGAAGACCCAGCTTTCTTTCCATACCTGAAGGCTGCCGCATGGTGGAGGGAGCGGGCTTACTCTGATTATTCATTTTGCACCTTACACTCACAGAATATTAGAACTGGGTGGGGTCACGTAAGTCACATCATCCAACCCCTCACTATTACACATGAGGACACTCCGGCTGGGAACAGTCGTGGCCTGTCCAAGCTCGCGTGGTAGGAGAGGGGGGACTGGAGGACTGTGCCTCCATTGTTTTCACCTCTGCTCTGCCATCGCGTTTCATGCGTCTGTGAGTACAACGTCAGCATTATGCCCAGGATGGAAACTCCAGACATACACGATCTTCAAGGGTGCACAAACACCATGATTTTATTGCTAATGACTAAAGACCTTTGAAAGTCTGCACAGTGATTCCTTGAATGCTTTTTTTTTTTTTTTTTCGCATGTATGGGTAACCTGCTTTTCTGGTTAGCCTGGCGGATCTTGGAGGGCAAAGAGGGACCCTTCCCTCCCCGATTTCTAGAGTTCCGTATGGCTACATGTGTTCAATCCAGAGTGCTGGCTGACTGCCCTGTCGGGTGAAGTTCACTTTCATCCAGTTCACTCTCATTTGAGTGCCCACTGCGTGCCAGACACCCGCAAAGCACTGCACATACAGAGATGCATATGACCCCCATCCCGGCCCCGAAGCTCACAGCACCGTCAGGGCCCCTGCTCCCTGCACTCCTGCCTACTTGCTCTCCGGGGCAGCCTAAGCCTGGCCTTTTTCTCTGTCCCCCTCCCTGAGATCCCAGGTCTCCCTCCCGTACTTCTCTGGGAGCGGGCACAGCAGAAGGCCACAATGGTTGCCATGAGGACGAGGAAGGCCACGCCAGCTCCTACGGCCACCCCGATGATGACGGCCATCGGCACAGACTCTGTGGGAGAGAAGCAGGCACAGCTGACGAGGGGCCCGACAGCCCACTCTCCCCCAGGGCCTCACCCAGTTCCTCCAGGTGCAGCCCCTTGCCAAGCTGGAGCCAGATCACGGTACACAGGCTCCTCTGGGAAGTGCCCGTGGCGCTGGCGGTGGGGTGAGAAGGCACAGGCAGAATCCAACAGGGTCAGCTCAGGTGGAACACGGGGGAGGGGAGAGGGAGGGAGGGTTTAGGGAAGAACCTGAAGCAATGGTGGTGGGAGAGGGAGGCAAGCAGACATGGGAGGGGAGGGTCGGGGAGGGGACTCGGGAGATGAGAAGCAAGGCTGGGCACAATTTAGCTCTGTTGGGTATTAAACCGGGAATATTCTGTCATGCAATAGCTGGAGAGTCATTAAGTTCTGGCATTTCTTTGAAAAATGACTGTGGTCACTGCCCTTGTCTGGTTTCTGCTTTCCTTCTCTTCCCTTTCCCAGGGCAAGAAGCTGGACATGGATAATCAGCTTTTAGAGTTCTCAGGTTTGGAGCGGCTTCCCCTCAGGGCCCGCTGGGCATCAGAGAGTGTAAATGCCAGAAGCCCAAGTCTTAGGGGCCAGGGGAGCAGGATCACAGGACCCCGCACCTTTAAGGAGAAATGCTCCTTTTCCTTGACGCACCCCCCCACCCCAGTTTGGCTCCTTCCCCTCCAAAGCCAGTACTCTGGGGATCCTGGCACTCCTCCTGGAGAGGAACCCGGAACTGCAGCTAGGCAAAGCCTCGCTCCCTGCTGAGTTTCTGTGGTCTGTGCCTGCCCTAGCCCAGTAGAGATGGGGATAGGGAGGGTGATGTTGGGGTTGGGGGGTGCTCTTCCAGACAGTCTTGGCCCTTCTGTGGCTGTATATGGGGCCCGAGCACATGATTTTGGGCCCCGAATCGTCCATTTAGAATAGAACTAGAGAATGCTGGGGCACAGAGACCTTCGGACCCGCTGAGTCCATTTTTGGATGAAAACACCAAGGTTCAGAGAAGTCAGGTGACTTGGTTAAGGACATACAGCTGCAGTAGAGCTAGGACAAATCCAGGTTTCCTCTCGTCTTCCCTCCAACCCCCACCCCAATCCTGCCCGGCTCCGTCCACTGTTTCACACAGCACCCTTCAAATCTCCCACACTCTGTACAGCCCATACTCCATCACTTCTTCTGAGCAACTTACTTGCCTTTTTTATCTCTAAAATGGGATGATGGTGCCTACCCAGGGTGATGGGATGGAGTTTAGATGAATTAGTGCAGGTAAAGGCTTGTGAACTGAGCCTGGCACCCGGTCCTATTCAGTCTCTGCTCCTGTTTCTAGATAGGAAGGAGGCCTGTAGCAGATCTAAGCCCTAAAAGGGAGGGAAATTCCTTGTAGAGCTGGGCTGCCCTCCCGCCCATCCTCAGTGTGGATGAGGTGGTTTAGCCTCTTGTTGTCTCTTCTTTCTTTTCTTTTCTTTTCTTTCTTTCTTTCTTTCTTTTCTTTCTTTCTTTCTTTCTTTCTTTCTTTCTTTCTTTCTTTCTTTCTTTCTTTCTTTCTTTCTTTTTTCTTTCTTTCTTTCTTTCTTTCTTTCTTTCTTTCTTTCTTTCTTTCTTTCTTTCTTTCTCTCTGTCTCTCTGTCTCTCTGTCTCCCTTCCTCCCTCCTTCCCTTCCTTCCTTTTTTATTTTATTATTACTTATGCCTACAGAACCTGGTCTTCCTAGGTGGTCTCCCATCCAAGTACTAACTAGGTCCAACCCTGCTTAGCTTCCGAGATCAGACATCAGGCTTGTTCAGGGTGGCATGGCCGTAGACCATGGATCATGGCTCCACTGGGGCGTGAACCCAGGATCTCCTGCGTGTAAAGCGGTAGTGCTAACTCCTACACTATGGAACCACATCCTCATTGTTGTCTTTAAAGAGAAGAAGAAAACCTCGCCCCTGGCCTCGGAGATGCCATTGGGTGAACATGTGGGTCCCCTCCTCCCGGAAGGAGCAGGTGACTGTCGGTTGGCAGTGATGGTGGTTTTTCTCATGCATTCCTTGCACACCAGCTCATTCGTTACCCCGGGACTTGCACATCAGCTCATTCGTTACCTTCACTGTCAGAGTGGCAGGGGAGGGGGCAGAAAGGAGGTGGGTGAGGCAAACATTCAGAGACTGAAAATGGGAAGTGCTTGGGTTGGTTGTAAGAGTCAGGAATCTAGCGACTCAACCTCGGGGACCTCGCTTTGACAAAGAGATGATTCTCCGGATTTTAATTCCATCAGGAAAAGAAAACTGCTTTGGAAGCTCATTGGCTCTATGCTTTTGAATTTCATTAATTTGGGTTTGATTTAGTTTCTCCTCAGATTTCTAGTAAGCTTCCTTGGAAAACCTTGGTCTTATCTCAGCTGAGCTCAGACCTAGAGGATGACCGTGGAAGGTTCCTGAAGCTTTCTGGGCCTCAGGGTCTCATCTGTAAAACTAGAGAACCAGGGAAGTAGTATCTCAAGTACCATCTGCCTCTGGCATTCTGTGAGTCCACATGTTCTTGAGTTGTTAACAGCTGGGGGGCACCATCTTATCTGGAGAACTGTCCCTGGGTGGGCAGGCAAGGGCAGGGGGAGAGGGTCTGATGGGGGCAGAGGGACCCATGGGATGGCATTCCCTCTGCAGCCTGCCTTCCTGAGGTCTGGCCTGGGCTGCCTGTGCTGGCTGTCCCTCTCTGGACAGAGCACCCCCTAGAGAGGGAGGGCTGCCTGTGCTGGCTGTCCCTCTCTGGACAGAGCGCCCCCTGGGACTGGAGAAAGGGCTACCCAGCCTCCTCTCCATCCAAGGAGGTGCACTGGGCATGAGGAGTCTCAGCCACAAAGAAGGGGTCAGGGACCTCTGGATGAGCTGAACAGACACATGTGCGATGGAGACAGGCAGGAGATACCATCCCGGCACCAGGAGGGGCGCTCAGGGGCCTCAGGGAGAATAGAGCCGAAGGCTGACAACTGCTGCCTCCGTGAGCTTGTCGGTGCCCTGACTGGAGCTTGCTGAAGGAACCGGCTCCTTCGGGGCCAGTGTGGAGGGAGAACTAGGGCAGAGGGCCCCATGTCTTCAGCATGGCCTTGATCAGCCTTGATCAGTCAGGTTTGCAATGTCCTCATTCTCTTTTCTGGGTTTCTGCTTGGAGGTTGGTGGCCGCTGTCTCCTGTGAGGGCCCGAAGTAGAACGGCTCAACCCAGGGAGCCTGATGACCACTCCGCCGCCAGGTGCCTGCGGAGGGAGGCACTGCCAGCGGCCTCGGCCTGGTGGTGGGATGGTAGTACTGTGGGGTACTGCAGGAGCGGAGGAGGAAGCAGCAGTGAGAAAGCACGGATTAGTGTGGATTATGCAGGCTACAGCAGCACCGGGAGGCCCTGGCACCCAGGGAAGCCGTGGCCACGCTGGTGACGATGTTGAGAAGCTGGAAGAGTCGGGGAGAGTGTGGAAATGGAGGGGGGCCGGGTGGTGGGGAGCTGTCCCCAGATGAGAGGAGCCAGGACTTCTGAAGGGAAAGGATGCAAGGAATGGAGTAGGAGGAAGAAGAGTCAGTGTCCCTGGCTGCAAGGAGCCTGTGGGCTCTGGTGGCAGTGAGGGAGGAGACCGGTCTCTGGGGTTACTAGACCCGCGCTGGCTGGGCCCCCCTCTCCCTGCTGCTCTGACTGCACTGAACCCTGGAGATGGGGGAGGGCATGACGTTAGAGGCCGGCACAGGCCTCCCTACTCCTTTTGGGGTTCCCTCCCCCACTAGCCCAGAGGTCCCTTCCCCCCATCCCGGGGAATTCTTATGTCTCCTTCCGTACCTGCTTCCAGCCCGGCTCCCGACTTCATTTCCGAACCTGTTTGGAAATAAAGCAAGCGTCCACAGCCAGGGCCTGGCTGGCCAGGGTGGGGTGGGACTGGGGGGACTGCCACCTAGAGAGGGCTGGGGTGAGGGGGCTCCCTCCTCAATCACATCTTCGGGATCACGCAACGGACCTGGGCTAGCCCGACTGAACTTGGAGACACTTAGAGACCCCAGGAGGGAGGGACCAGAGAGAGAGGTCAAGGCTGGGGGTGGGGCAGGTCTGGGAGGTCAGGTGAGACTCTAAGAGGAGGGCATGGGGGGTGGGGCACTGAGGGGAGGACATGGAGGGTAAGCAACAGGGGCTGGAGGTTTGGGATGATGTGTGGATGACGTTATGCAAATTATGTGCAAAGCATTATGCAAAGCAGCACGTATTAGGGAAGAGGTGTTGGGAGACACTGTGATCCAAGGGAAGCCCCAAGGCCCTGAGGCCCAAGGGGCTCAGCTGGGACCATCCTCTTGGCTCAGAGCCACTTGCCAAGGCCTGACAGCCTGTGGGTGGCCTTCGTCTTGGAGGGGTCAGAGAGTGCCAGGGCTGAGGCCCCCTGGACTGCCCGGTCAAAGGGGCAAGGTCCGTAGCCCATCTTAGGACCCGGTGTGCTGCTGGTGTCCCGAGCTTCTCTGGATCCCCCCCATGCCCGTCCCAGATTCCCTGCCCTCTGGTCTATTCGCGACCTTCAAGCAGAGACTGGAGCTCGTGACCAGGAGCTGGACAGTCTGCACCCGGGATCACCGTGGGGTGAGCCTTCCCGCTCCCACCGCTTCCTTCTCACACCCTTACTGTCCCCTCCTCTGAGCCCTTCTGCTTAGAGCTACTCCCTGGCTACCCTCTTTGGAGCACAGTGGTCCATGTCTCTCCCATGTTCCTGGGGAACTGGAGAGGGTCTGGAACCAGCCCCCGACACACCAGGTGTTGGGGCAGCTCAGTTGCTTCCCTTTAGCACAGCTCGGGTGCCTCTGGGGGACTTTTGGGTCCCTGGACTGACTTGTGTTAATGGCTGGGCCAGGTTCCCTAACAGATGTATGGCCATCCTGGGGGATCACTGTGTCCCACACCACTGTGGGCATTTTGACATCAGACAAGGGCCCCCCAGGGAAATGTCAAGTAGACACGAGCCAGGGCCTTTAGGAGGTGTTGGCGGCTCATCATGGCAATCAGTTTGGCTCACTTTTGTAGTCACCTTTTCCTGAAACGTCACCTTGAAGGACAACCTCCCTGGGCAGCTTTCTTCCCCTCTCACTTCCTGGTGCAAGCTAGTGGCTCTTGCCTCTGGAGGAGCTGGGCCAAGGAGGGCCACTTCCACTGACCTGCCCGAGGCTGCGTGGCAAGTGAGCAGGAGCACTATGACTTGGTCTCGGGCCCCAACCCACTTGTAACTTCTGCTAGGCACTCTGTCCCCTCAGGAACCTGGAAGATATTGCTTGGAATCCTGCCCGAGGCAGAGAGGGGGGCCTGCTGATCCCACCATCCCCCGGCCCCCACCTTGCTCCTTGAGCCGGATGATCTCCGTGTCAGAGCCGAAGCTGTTCCAGGCGGTGCAGTTGTAGATGGTCTGGAAATCGGCCCGCACGATGTTGCTGATGGTCAGGGTAGAGATGACACCCTCCTCCGTGCTGACAGTCTCCACGGTGTAGCGCCCTGACGTCCCCGACTCCAGCACATTTTCCTTCCATGACCAGGCCTGTCCAGGGGGCCAAAATTAGGAGGAGACCCCACCGTGGCCACCCACACTGAGACCACTGTGCCTCCTCCTGCTCCAGGGCTGACACTACCAGGCTCACATGCATGCTCCCTGCCACCAGCACTGGCACGTGTACACACAGGTTCACGCACATCCCAACACACATCACAAATGTATGCACACACCACACACACACAGCGCCAACATGTGTACACGTGTGTACACACCCCAACATATCACAAGCACGCACACATACCACACACATACCACACACATAAACACACATTACGACTCACGCATACACCATACCACAATGTGTACACACACCTCAACACACACCACAAACACGTGCACACACCATACACGTAGCAGCCACCTGTTTACATACAGGTACACATGTACACACAACATAAACACATGTACACACACATCCCAATATACCACAAATCTGTGCACACACATCACAACACATGCACATGCCACACCACTCAAACACCAACACGTGTACGTGCAGGTACACACACCACACCACAAACATGTGCACGCATGTACACACACACAGAGGTCGGGCCACTTGGGAGGGCATTTCCACCGAGAAGGGGGCCTTATGTGGATCTGCACTGGAACCCCTTTCCAGGCAGTCAGGGGGCTCTGCAGCAGCAGTCAGAGCCCCTCCCTCCAGACGCTCCCACCAGCATCCTCCGCCTGGCCAGTGGAGGCAGAAGACCAGCCCCAGAGTGGCTGAGTCTAGTTTTGTTACTTTTATGTCTGTCTGTACAAAAGTATTCTGAGAGTTGTGTTTGTGATCATCTTATCTATCTTAGTTTAATTTTTCCCAGAGTCGCTTTACGTGCACGGCAGGCGCCTCGCGCACCCTGTTTGCTCACAGTGTGAGAATGTGGCCTTGCACGTAGGTCCACGCTTGGACGGCACAGAGCTGTGAGTGGCTTCTCAACTCGGCACTGTTGACGTTCTTGTTTGGAGCAGGGGCTACCTTGAACATTGTAGGATGTGTAGCAGCATCCTGGCCTTTACTTACTAGAGCTGGTAGTCTCCCTCTACTTGTGACAACCAAAAATGTCTCCAGACAATGCCAAATGTCCCCTGGGGGTCAAGAATCACCCAGGTGAGAAACGCGGGCCTAGAGTTAGCTATCCGTGAAGAGAAAGATTGTGTGACTATGCTCAAGAGTGAGCGGGCTGTTCCACAATGGGCATGTGTTGCATTTTTAATTTAAAAAAAAAATTAAAGAGTGAAGGGAATGCGGAGGTGTAGGTCTTAGTTCTATGCGTGAATTCTTGCAATTTTTGTGTGGCTCCTTCAGACAGCGAATGAAGTGAATGCCTGAGAAAGTGTGTAACAGCAATAACGCTCTAGTAATATCTCATGTACAGGATGGCACCTGAGTTTGGGCATCCCAGCGCCATGTGCACCCTCCACACCACTGCTGGATCATAAAACGCAGAAGCGCCCTGCGGAGTTGGCCCGGGGCAGTCTTCAGGTAGGACTGTCCTAGCACTGGGGCTTACAAAAATAATATCTGCCCCCACCCAGAGCTGTAAAATATTCACCTTTCTTGGTTTTTATGCCTATGCTTCCATCAGTTTCAGGTGGACTGGGGCAGAAGACACTCCCTTTCACCAAAGCAAATACCCAGGAGGGCTAAGTGTGCACCATGCAGGTTGCCTTAGCTGCACTACAGAGACAAAGGAGGGAGAATGGAGTGGCACTTTTATGAGGGGAAAACTTGATAAATGGGGCAGCATTCATTCTCCATGGACCACAAGCAGTAGAGGCCAGTGGAGAAGGGCTCTGGGAGGCGCAGAAAGGGATTTGCCCACTATAAACTGCACTCTGCGTAGGATTTTGCCAAAGATTGGCCTTGAACCCAAGAAAGGGAGGAAATTGTGTATCTTTTCCTTCTGCTCCCCTCACTTGCCTCTCTGCTCCTAGGATGCAGTGTTCCACTATAACCATCAATGTTGGCGCCCAGCTCTGTGGCAGAGAGCCATTAAATACACTTGCAGATGGGCCCAAGGAGTACGGCCTGCTCTGAGACCGGAAACTGCCTGTGATGTTTGTCTTCATGATGCCTTTCCAAGGGAGCAAGGTGGGAATGCTGTCCCCACAGAGAGGAAGCGCAAAGGCGTGCACTGACTTCCCGGAAGTGGGCGGAGGCTGGGCGCTAAGCTTGCTGCAGGGCCCCCTACCCCTCCTGTCCCCTCCCTGGAGCACTCACTATTCGGTCCGGCGGCGGTGTGCTCCGGATGAAGCACTTGATCTGGCCCTTCTCTCCATGGAGGGCGTGCTGGGTCTGGGTGCTGGAGATGATGGGGGGTCCTGTTGGGGAGACAACATTACATCAGGGATTCAATAAGAGTATGTCCCTGACAGGGCCCCTTGTGGGAGGGCTTCAGAAGTTTATTCATTACTTTAATCATTCAGCAGACATCTCCTAAAGGCTGTGTGTACAAGGGGAAGTGCAAGGTGGGGGACTCAAAGATAAATTAGGCATCAGTCATGAACCTTTAAGAGATCATGAGTGGGTGCTTCTAAGTCAGAATGCCCAGAAGACATAGTAGGGGTTCAGAATGAGTCAGCGCAACGTGTGCTTCTGTGATATGTGGATTATTTTGAGCTAAGGGCAATGGAGACCCTGCGGGCCCAAAAGAAACCTCTGCCCCCCTTAACTACCTACAAGAATTTAAATTAGGGGCCTTGCCTATAATGAGAGACGATCAGAGATAACCTTTTTTGACCTATCTATTCGGCAGGGCAAACTACTAATTACTGAACATCTTATCGTACTGCAGTGACCTTCCTCCCCTCCGAAGCCCCAACGTGCTTTAGCTCAGAATGCCGTAAACACTTCGTTTTAACTTTCCGTCCCTCTTGCGTGTATGTGGAGTCCCCATATGTACGTATGTAACTAAATTTGGTTATTTTCTCTCGTTCATTTGTCGTATGCTGATTCGATTCTTCCACCAGCCAAAGGAACCAGAGGAGGGACTGGTGGATGTTTTTCCCTTTCCCCACAACTTAAAAAACTGGGATAAAACGTGGAGAGTGTTGGGACCACAGAAGCGTACAGGTGAAGTGCTAAACGACTTCAGAGGAGAGAAGCTAGTGTAGCCTGGTGGATAGGGAACGCTTTATGAAGGAGGTGGCCAACCTGAGAAGCGGGTGGGAGAGCTGTCAGGGAGGAAGGGATGCAGCACTAACTGATGGCACCTCGGCTTTAGCCTGCTGCTCCATCTCAAGCCATTTTCTCGGATATCCAGTAGAGGGCGTGCTTGCCTAACAAACCAGGTATCCTGGGCCAGGCCGGCGGAGCACCCAGGGAGGAAGAGAAACGTGTGTGACGTTACTCCACCAGTGCGGGAATCACCCTGAGCAGGCGGAATGCACGGGGCACGTTTACAGCCTTCATCTCACACGTGTCTGAGGAGATCCCAGATGGCCTGGGTGAGAGAGATTACGGCTCCAAAGCTGACCCCAACATTTTTCGATTGCGCGCGCGCGTGCGCGCGCATGCGCGTGCGCGTGCGTGTGCGTGTGTGTGTGTGTGTGTGACGTGTCAGGCTCCTAATGTACCCGTCTCAGTTAACGCATTAAATAGGCTAGCAAGTCCACCTGAAGTCCAGCAGTGCTTCCTGTCTAGTCTGCCTTTTATTTGCTTTTTCTCTTTTCTACGTGATGCCCACCGGGCAGTGAAAAGGGGACGAAGGAGTGGCTAGTTCAGCCATTTGCACAGCCAGCTTTCTGGCTGGGTGGGCAGTTGAAGCACTGGGTGAAGGTGTGGAAGCCCGCATGCCCCGTTCCCAGTCCCCGCTGTAAAGCCTGAAGCTAAGGTGGCAGGAAACAAGAAAGGCAGAGAAAGGGATACAGGACCAGCGAAATTATGCTAGGAACAAACCAAAAATCCCTGCAAACATAATTGCTGTTTATTAGCTGCCTTAATTAAACCAGATTTGCGTTTCTATGAGTAGCTCTCAGCCAAGGGGAAAAAAGCTGCCGGGAGACACTCAGGTAGCTTCCATTAAGTTCAGGATGCAAACGGCTTGGAGCTGGGTGAGGCAGTTCTGGGGGACCCTTGAGATAAGGGCTTCCACACTCAGCCGGCTTTATGAGTGGGCTGAGCCCTTAGCGCCAAGAAGCCTGTGCCCAAAAGGCAGGAGGGCTGGGCGTTTTAGGAACTCGATGTGGCTTTGTTTTACTACTGCGCTAAAAGTGATGAAACCATAATACCTTTTCCCTGCACTTCCCAGGAGCTAGGAATTGTCTGGGGGGCAGGGTTCCTCAGGATAGATGGGGTTGAAGGGGTCAGGGAGCAGCAGGAAAGCTGTTCATCTTCCCGCAGATCTGAGAGTGAGCCACGGCAGCCAACATCAGTGCCCACTGATCGATCGATCCCCCACAGGGCAATGGCCAGCAGTCCCCACCGGCTGGGATTTGTTCTGATGAGAACCCCATCATTCTAGATCCTTCCAGAAGGTTAGATCCCTCAGCTCAGTCCAGGTCTTTTTGCAGAAGGCTGCACTGTCCCTCCACCTGTTCTCCAGTCCCCACCAAGAAGACTGGCAGGTTCCTCTCCCTGGGCCACTTAATCCATCCCTCTGCCTCAGGGAGAGATGACCTTGGTTCAGCATAAACAAAGGGCTTCCTTGCTTCACTCCCATCCCTTGGGCGTTTCTCCTCCTGGCAACCTGGGGGGCTTGTATGGAAGGACTGAAGGCAGAAGAGGCAGATGGAAAGCCAGACCCTGGAGGAAGCAGATTAAACCCCAGGCAGAGGCTGCAGTGTCCCATCCAGGAGAAACATTCCTCAGAGATGTGCATCCCCTCCTTCAGAATCTACTTCAAATCTCTTCTGGGAAATGCCTGAATGTCTAGAGTGACAATGGCATGTCAGTCCCTCTTTTATCCGCCCTAATTTCCCTAGAAATGAGGATGCTCATTTAAAAGCTTTAGGTTGAGGGACCCTGGAGGCCACGTGTGAGTCTGAGGGTTCCCAGCCCAGCTGGTCATGGGGCGAGTGGACCGGAGCCACCTCAGTCACGGGCCAGCACTGCCCAGTGCCCTTCCAGAGCTGGCAGCGGGGGAGGCCAAGATTTCACCAGGGCCTGGCACCTGAGCTGAGTGTCAGACACCAGAGCGGCAGGAAAAGGCTGCAGTCTGTGTTGCCATGGATATACAGAGTCACGATCAGATGCTGTTATTTTTAGCCCTGCAGTGCCAATTTATTGGTGGCATCCTAGGGACACACAGGAAAGGCAGGAGGGCTCCTGAGTCAGGGTTCTGCCCAGGACAGGTGACTGTGAGCACTCCAGGGTCTGGGTAGCTAATTCCCATTCTGGAGCTGCCACAACCCTTGCAGAGAGGACAGGAAAGGAAATAGATGGAGGGAGGGGGGTGGTTAATGGGGACAGCAGAGGGGAATGGCCGAGGGAGCCCCATGCGGCTTAGTTTCCTAGCAAAGGGGGAGCAGAGGTAAGGCTGTCAGGGGATGCTTTCTTGGATTGAGACGAAGCCAACCGGGCACATTTTTAGAACGTGGCTCAGCCCCTTCCCAGGGCCCCGGCCTACTGTAGTGGGAACAGGGCTTGCAAAAGGCCATGGGCATGACAGATGTGAGGTGGGAAACCAGAAATCCAGCCCAGTGAGGAGGTCTGGAAGTGGCAGGGGGACCTGGCCTTAGTGTTTCTCACCCTCTCAAACCAGCACCTTGGGTTCCAACCGAGGCCCAGGCACTTACCACAGTAGGGACATCAGATTTCTGTCCTGTTGCCTCAGCCATCTTGGGTCTGACCTGAGGTGGGTCCGACCTGAGGTGGGTCCCAGCTTCTTTGCAACCTTCTACATCTCATCAGCCAGGCCTGGTCTCAGCCCCAACCCCTAAATGCTTCATGTAATCGTTATCTAGTAGCTCACACTGTTCTTGAAGAGTTATGAAAACATTCTCCTGCTGTAATGATTTTTATTATATGTAATAAGACATCTCCCCCTAACCGCCTGCAACAGATTCCCTGAACTCCTGGTCTGGCGAAGACGGTGACAGGTCTTCCTGGTTGAGTGGCTCTCATGTAATAGGAAGAGCCTGATCAGGAGTCCAGAGATGCTTCCTTAAATTCCCACCAGGTTCAAGGTCAAGGTCAAAGTGTGGATATGCCTTTGGTTGCCCAGTGACCCTTTGACCCTTTTTCCTGGCCAGGACAAAATTTATTAGCGGCCACTCTTAGGGCTGAGACTCTTTGGAAGATAACAAAGAAGGAGGGAGGTGACCAGAAAGCTATCCAGGTCCTTTTTCATGTCAGGCCTGGGCTCTGACAGAACTTGACAAGGTGGACATCATGGCTATGCGCCTATAGTTGGAGGTGGTGGCAAGACCCTGAACTAGTGACAGCCTCTTAGGGCACTGCTTGGGGCCAAAACGCCTTGGGTCCCTCTCCACTCCCTCCCTCCCACCCCCTGCCCCAGCACGAGTGGGGATCTTACCATTGACAGTCAGGGTCACCTCTCGCTCCCCGGCTCCCACCCGGGGCACCACCGCTCGGCACACATACTTCCCAGCATCCTCCTGGCGGACGGCTTTGAGGGTCAGGGTCTTCTCATTGCTCAGGACCTAGGAGAATTGGGGAGGATCAGACATGGAGAGTGGGTATAGACTCTCTCCGTCTGTCAGAACCAGAGGGTCTGAGAGGCAGGCCTGGTGGAAGGTGACGTCTCCAGGATCTCGGTGAAAACCAGGGCTAGGGTAGGAGGCAGATGTTTATGACACAGCTCACATGTGTGGGAGAGGCCCACAGCACAGAGGAAGGGCTCCATGGGGCTGAAATGCTACATCCTGCTGCAGCCCTGGGGGCGGGTTCACGGGATGAGTGTGGAGGAGGATGGGACTGCCGGGCTGTGTCCCGAGGGGTCCTAATCCAGGGAGGGGCTGCCCACCCCCCCCACTCCCCTTACCAAACTGACCATGGGTGAAATGACCTAAGCTGAACTTCTCTGAGGGTTCCCGGACCTGCCTTTTCCAAGTCATTTTTCAGTATCCATTTGGGATATGATTTGGGGTAGAAAAGAAAACAGACTTCGACACTGGTTAGCTCTGAGTCGGAATCCTGGCTCCAGTGGTGACTATCTGTGTGGCTGCGGGCAGTTATTTATGTTCTCTGATGCCGTCTGCTTTTCCTTACAGTGGGGGCAGTGAGCTCACGGGGTAGTGCAGTGTCTGGCAGAGCCGGCCACACGGAGGCTGGTTTCCTTCTGCCCCTCCACCCACCTCTCGCCCAAGGCTCTCGCCGGTCCCGAGACAAACTCTTATGCACACTAAAGAACACACAGGTTTTAAAAGAGGAACACAGGAAGAGAGCAAAGCTTAATCCAAAAGCTAAAGGGTCACTTCATTTTTGAGGAAAGTCGAAGAGCCTTCCTAGTGACTTTTTACCCCCAGCGTATTGGTGACCACCTGCTTTTCTTCTTAGGTTCAGGACAGAAACACTGCAATGGCTGCATGTGTTTAGGGCCAAGGAGGTGCACGTAGGTACCTGGGGCTCCCTCTCCTCTTTCCGGAGTGCTTCCTTCAGCTCACTGGAAGCTGACAGCCCCCATATGAGAGTGAGAGGGGCCCGATGAGGCAGTCTTCTCCTGGCCCGTGGCCCCCCCCGACCCCTGCCAGAGGAGTCTGAGCTGTGGACTCACCACACCAGAGCCCCGCTTCATCCACACGATGGTCAGGGATGGGTTTCCGGTCCAGGCACAGCTGAAGACGGCATCAGAGCCCAGATCCACAAGCAGGGACTGCGGCTCTGTTGTCATCCTGGGCCCGACTGTGATGGAAGGAAGAAGACAGGGCTCAGGGGACCCTCTGCTGCCGTCCTTTCCCCACCACCCAGCCGATTCCCTCACATTTCAGTCCTCTGCCCCTCTGGCCTGGGGTCAGGAAGTAAGGAAGAGACCCCTCTCCCCCAGCCCAGCCTTCTGTGGGGCCGCAAGAGTAGGCAGCACTGGCCCTAGGAAAAGGGCTCTCTGGCCCCGTTTGTGCCTGGACATGCCCTCAGGGCTCTCCCAGCCCCTTCCTTCTGTCCTGAGGAATCCCCTACCCCAGTGCATGGAGCGGAGGAGGCCAGGTGGCTGCTCTCAGCTTATCCCCTACTCCAGCCCCATCCAGCCTCTTTTTCAGCCCCACCTGTTTCCCACGCCCCTGCTAAGTGTTGGTGAGGTTAATGGAGGCTCCGCTCTGCCTTCCTCCCACGTGCTCAGCCAGTAACCTGAGCCTCCTGCAGCCCGGGCCCTGTTTCCGAGTGAGTGTGATGATGGACTTTCAGGCACGGTGATGGAGGGAATGCGGAGGGCTGCTTTCAGGGAGCAGAAGAATGTGAAATCTGGGGTCAGGAGCCTGGCTTCGTCTCTTAGTGTAGAGCTCGGGGTGGGGGGTCTCTGCCAGGCCGGCAGGGAGGAGGGGGACGTCCGTGAGCCCCAAATGGGAGGCAGCGGGCTGAGGGGACAGGCAGGAGTGAGTGGATTTGCTCAGAGCCTGGGCTCAGTTCTTGTTCTGCCGCTTCCTCACTGTGTGACCTTGAGCCTCTGACCCCTCGTCTGGGAAACGGTTCCTGCCTCCCCGTGCTGCTATGAGGGTCACAGCACGAGGAAGTTCTTTGCCTCGTGAGCTGGTGAAGCATTGTTGCATGGTGGTGTGTGGCGAGTCCCGCCCCGGTTCCCCTGGCCCTGAGCGGAGATGCCCCAGTGCCCACTGCCCTGGGGGAGCCCCCAGACGGTAGCACTCACAATAGACGTCGACCGTGCGGCTGATGTTGGTGCTGCCCAGGGCGTTGGTCACCTCGCAGGACACAGGCTCTGAGAAGTACGTGTAGTCCACGGTGGTCCGATACACTTCTCCGGATGCTTCCTTGATGATCTGGCCCCGCTTGGCCCACCTGCAACACAGGCCCCACGGGCTGTTGTGACCTTGGACGGCAAGGGTGTGCTTTCCTCCAGGGGGCTCTTCTCTTTGGGAGCTGGACGCACCCATCCCACAGGAAAACAAGTCCGGCCTGGGGCAGGGTCCCTCAGGGGGATTCTCCACAAGGGAGCCACTTCCAGGACTGGGGAGCAGCTGGTGGTGGAGGCGGTGGGCTTCGGTCTGAGGGTCACCAGGTGGTTAGTGGCACTGAACCAGTGGGTTATTCTGGAGGCAGGTGGGTTGACTATTCAGTTGGTCAGCCCATCTGGCTGGCTAGGCGATGAATAACCCAACTGTCGGTCTCTAGACAGCTTGGCTACCCCGCTCTGAGCTCTGTCAAGAACCTTGTCCTGGGTCACATTGGAAAAGAAGGAGGCCACGTCCATGACCTCAGAGGCCATGCACACACGCACACCTACACACACACACATGCACACACATGCAGAGAAATGAGGCTCCCGGAAGCTCGATCTCCAGACAAGGCGAGAAGCTGATGGAGAGGTGTTAGCCAGGGTCCCGACTCTCAGCTCTCCTGCCCTGACTCCTGTCCCCAGGGTTTAGGTCCCCTCACATGCCCCCCTCTCCCCAAAAGCCCTTTCACCCCTCACCCCTAGGGATGGCACTCGCTCTTTTTCCACCCAGTTTTCACCCTCCCACCCTGGCTTTGCTCCTTAGAGGCTGCTCTCTCTCTCCTGATTTGGTCGGGGAGGCAGGATGAAGGCTGTGCTGACTTCTTTCATTGGCCCATGGACCCATCAGTACCAACAGAGGGGAAAGACAGAAAAGCCTTGAGCCTGTCTTGGTCCGGGCCCTGGGGTGGTGATCACTGCTTGCTTCCTCTGGGGTAGTGTTGCAGCCCCAGGGCTGTGTGCGTGCGTGTGTGTGTGTGTGTGTGTGTGCTCGCGCGCGTGCACGCACATTGAGGGCTTTCCTTACAGGTGCCCAAGGAGAGAGTTCATAGCTTCCCCTAGTTTAATTCCACTGTAGACAACACTCACTTTTTTACATC